CGTAATACTGACGGAACAGTAAAAACATCCGTCTACCGCCGAGAAACATATGCGGAAGTTAATCTAAACTGTGAGAGCAACAACCCCATCTCTCATAAACGGAGTGCCGTCAGTAGTCTGCTACGTCGAGCAAAGACACACTGCTCTGACGTACAAACCTACCGAATGGAGCTAAATGATTTGTTTTTTCCGAAATGGTTACCCCAGAGACTTTGTGCGCCGATGCATAAAAAACAACGCAACAAAAAGGAACCAGGTGGTTCCACTCAACTGTCCAGAACAAATGCATGGCGAGTCCTCCCTTATATAAGGAATGTGTCCGAACTCATTGAAAGACACGTGCGGAAATACCAAATAAAAGTTTCGCACAAACCGATGGCTACTCTACGGACCCGCTAGTACACGTTAAGGATAGGGTCAGCTACCTCAATAAGAAAGAAGCTATCTATAAAATCCCATGTGGAGGTTGTGATACTGCATATTGTGGCCAAACAAGATCCGTCTCCACACGCATCCACGAGTACCAATTGGCCGTGAAGAGAAGTGACTATTTGTCCGAAGTGGCTATGCATTGCCTTGACACAGGACACACCTTTGCATGAGATGAAACACGCACCGTCGGAGTTTGCCCCTCCAAAAATGGCCGAGAATTCTTCGGAGCCACGCACTCCGACGATTCATGAATCAAGCGGCACGCAGAGTTGGATTGTATTTATAAGCACGTCAGAGAACGATGGAAAAGACCGAGGCCGCACGACAGAGACTAACTGAGGCCACACCTACCAATCAGGTCTCACCTCATATAAATATTGATTTTTTCGGCGGTTTTGAAATTTTAGATGTTCATTGCACTTTTCCTGTTAGTCCAAAGACGAATTGGGGTGCCAAACTCGAAAATTCACTCATTAAGGTTACTTTTTATCCCAAAGAAAATGTTCTTCAAATTAGAATACACTATTCCTCCCACGTTTTCTCTTCCCATACGGAAACGAGCCTGATGATCGCAGCCGTAAGGGTCTTCCCTATGAAATTAAGCTGCTATGATATCCAAACCTTTTGAAATCCGATATGTTGGTTGACAGGGTTGTAGACTATCGTCAAGTCGGTTCAAATACAGAAGGACCCTACATGATTTTAAGTGAGTTCAGTTTGTACGCGGACGCCGGCTGACTGATCTCGACTATGTTGACGATACCGCCCTGCTACCTTCAGACATTAATTACCTACAGTCTATGATGTTATGAATGAAGCAAGTCGTTGGGGGTCGACTCCATTCACCCAGAACATTTGAGAATGTAGGTCATCAAAGCCCGAAGCTAGTAGCTGACAACAATGCTCACTCTAGCCCAAACTTTAAACCTAGCCCTTGCCTTATTACTAAACTCGATTTCCTGGAATTTCGCGCAAAGTTACGTGTATTGTGGGCGGTCCCCGTTGCCGTGTTCCGGGTTTAGGCGGCCATACAAGTCCTTTTTACGCAGACACCTATT